TATATATATCTGCGAGACTCATTAATGAATATATTTATCATAGGAACCACGTGCATTAAGGATGGAATATTTTCAATAGATAATTGATTCAGTTGGTATGGCGTTTGCCATTGATTTCTGTAGGAATTCATTGACGCATGTTCGTCAACATAATTGTCTCTTAAATTGTCTTCTTATTAGTGTTAATTATAGAATTAATTTTGTTTATATTGTTGACGCATATTTATCCTAGCATTTTCAATATCAGATAATAGAAATTTCCTCGATGACTTTCATAAATATCTTTCATACTATGCACTCTATTATTTTATGTTAGCGATAGCTTGAAGAATTTGACTGTTAGTAGTTTTGTATATTTGCTTAAATTCCAAGGGATTTAGTACGTCTTTGGTAGGTCACTGTAATAATATATCTTCAAGCTTGACAAGATAATCTTGTCGCTATTTGGTCTTTCGTCTCTTTTTTTTCTACATATTTATCTTCAATTTTATCAATTGATCTTTATCATCAGACATCAACTGTGTTTACAGCTTGATGACGACCCTAGTGAATTTGTTACCTAGAAACATTCAAATGTTTGACTAATATGTTCGCAGAGTTCATCATTTTCTTTCAAAAGAACTTTTTCATGAACAATAATACATGCAACACACAAAATGACGATTACAATGTAGACAAATAACGAATTGTACATTAGTAGATGACTTCTCTTCAGAGATAATCAAAAGTAATCAACATATGTCATAAGAATATTAAGCAGAAGAAAACTTGAGATTATTATCTTCTAAACATGAATTACGACGTTTTATTTAGTTATTGCCATTATTTATTTTCTCTTTTCTATGTTTCATTCTCTACTTTGAAGAACATTTTTCTTCACTATGAGTGTATTGTGTTTTTTCACAACAATAAACGTAATTATTGAGTAGTATAATCGATGTTATAATTGGTAAGTATTGGTTAGTAAATAGACTATTGAAGATTAATGATTATCGTAAGTAATATTTTAGCGAAAGAATTAAGATATATGTCGCAGTTTCTTTTTGTGCGGGCGAAGGTTATAGAAAAAAAAGTTATCTATTGTAAGAGACTGGATATAACTAATTTGGCATATTCTGTTGTTTTCATTGTAGTCTTAAGAATTTGTTTATCCGTCGATATATAATCTTAAGTATCCTATCAACAATAATCACTAGATCAGTAAAGACATCTGTAGAATAAAATGCATCGAAGCACATAATTCAGTTCTTTTTATGCTTCACAGAAACTTTCAAAACTACTTCAGAAGATGAAACTATAGATATTTTACTTTCTTTACTTTCCTATATAACTTTTTAAAATTAAAAATATTAATAAATAAATCGGAAGATACTAATTCCATCCTTTTGAATTTACAATTACCATTGAATTTTATATTGGACGACTCTTCTTATTTAAATATATCTAACAAACAAATATTTACATGTTCTTTATGATAGTATATCACAAACTGTCTTTCAACATGAAGCATTAGTTAACAAAAGTTGCTTTTCCAATATGAAATAGTTTAATTACGATAGTTATAAATTAAATAGTTGGTAGTTTTATAGGCGAACATTACACAATATAGTTAATTAGTTTATCGTAACGAAATATGTTCTTTCATCATAGCTCTACATGAGATTATGAAATATAACTGTATAGAATTTTCTCATTAAATAAAGTCAAATAAGTCAATAACAATCTAGAAACGATAATCGACTGTCATTGAAAAGTATTTCTATCTAATATTCTGATATACGGTCTGTTGTGTACTATCAAAATAATGATTGTTAACATATTCCAAATAAGCAAATTATTAATGGGTTGTAGTGAAAGACTCTTTCATGTTGATAGTTTCTCTCTTATAACATTAACAGATAGAATGATCCAATTGTTCAAATGATAAAACATAGAATTAATAAAAATTTGCTATTAAAAAAGATTTCAAAAAGTTCAACTTAACAATATTTCAATGAGTCTTTTCATTTTGCAAATAATTAGTATCATCTTGATGTCCATGTCCATATGAATGTGACCAATAAGTAATAGCATAAATTGGTTTAACAATATTTTTACATTCATTTTCATTAAATGTAATTTTTTCTGCTGAACATACATCTCCACCAATGCCATTCATCCAATCATATGCATTCATTAATTTTGGTCCTAAAAATGTTATATTAGCAACTTCTAATATAGAATCTGATTTTTGATTTTCTTTATTTCCAAAAAGTTGATCAAGTGTTTGATCTGTATTTTGATTTGCATGTAAATAAAACATTAAACCTTCAAAAAGTGATTGTGGTCCAGTAAAAAATTCTGCTTTACCATTCCAAAATTCATTTCGTTCTTTATCTGTTGCACGAGACCATAATAACATAATTCGATGTAAAATATATGTCCATAATGGATGATTAGGTCGAGATGCAAACCATGAATTTGGTACACTATTCATTGAATGAAACGAATAATTTATTAAAGAAAGTACAACAGATTTGTTAATAAATAATTTATCAACTCGACGAATTGATTCATAATCTAAATCAATCTATAAAACAAAACAAAAAAAAATACTTCTTTTGCTTTTTCAAAAAGAAAAGATCAATATATTACATAAAGTCCACCATAATGTAACATATATAAATAACGTACACTATCCACTTGAAGAATAGCTGGTGATAATTTTTTATATGTTCCATAAAACCAAGGAAATTTCGTTCGAACAAATAAATCATTTTCATCATCAGTCCATAAATGATAATACCAATCAGTATACTGTTCACACCATGTTTGACTCCAACGTCCTTGACGTCCACGTAATGTTCTATTTTTCCATGTTTGATGAATTATTTTTGGAATTTCATTCCATGTTTTAGACTGAAACCATCGATCTAATTCATCTATTGAAATGTGTTTACAACTAGTCGGTGATACAGTAGAATCAATATTATTTTTTGTATTTTCAATTGAAGAAGAATATTTTATAATAAATGTAATAATTATAAAACTGAATATAAAACAAAGAGAAAGTAGTAATATTCTTCTAGATGCTCCTAAAAAAGTTATATATTTATGATCAAGATCATTTTAATAAGTCAATATTTACGATAATCGGCCATATTATTAATATATATTATCAAAACGTTAACTTTTTGGTTCTTATCGTAATGGTCGATGCTCTCTTTTTTTTACAGTACATTTTTTTTTTACAAAGCAAACAGATTCTCGATGAATATAGTTAACATTTCTTTTTCTTTTTTTTTATCTTTTATCAATTCATGTCATATTATTTACTATTAATTTTTTGTAATTGTTTTTATCAATATAGTTTTAAAATAAATGTAATAAAAAATAATTATTTAATGGTAATATCTTTTTTTTTTCTTCTCATTTAATATTTGATATTAAATGTAATTTCTTTGTCGAAAATAATATTTGCATACGTTATCAAGAAAAAGCCTTGAATCATTCTTAAATATAGTCACAAGAGACTCACTGTTGATCAAAAGGAACAGTACAAATCTGATGAGTTCTTTTTCTCTTGTGATCAATATAAAATTGAATACTAGAATATTCTCAATCTTTTCTTTTTATAGATTAATAATTACTTAGACATCAAAATAATATCAGATGACTGCTGTTGTTGTTTTCTACATAAAAAACTAAATTCTTATTATTATATCGTAATGAAATAATAAATGAATGATAAATTAGTTCAATTTTTTCATAGATAAACACGATTTTCTGCAAAAACAAAAAAACAATCGTCTTAGTCAGAAATAAGCCAAATTATAGATCTTTCTCAAAAGGAAAATATCGTTCATTGAGTATAAACTTTTCTTTTGTATGATTTATTATTATGTTGCCTATAATTAAAAATAAAATAATTTTATGTTTCCAATAATAGTTTCAATGTGTAGTCATATTACTTTGTCTAATTGAAAAATTCTTGTCATAAATCTGATATGTAAATATTCTTCATATTTCTTTTATTTTCAATTAAAAGCAAGAAAAAACATGAATTTTTCTTATTTCTGTTTTCTATCCAAATTAGACCCCGTGGTTAGTCAATATCTCATGAGACATTACAACGCATATTTTTTATGCATACTATTTTATATTATATATATACACACAAAGAGATAAGCAAAATCAAATGTTATATATATGTATATAAATATGTATAAGCACCGGCAAGAAAAGAAAAGACACAGAACAATGCAAATATGTGTACACATATATACACATAGTAGCTATCAAACATTACTCAATTAAGATTATTTTCAATGATCTCTTTTTCTTCGCTGCTGTAAACACTAATAAAAGTTTTTGATGATGAAGATACTTGCCAATTTCTCGAGGTGAAGATCTCTGAAAAACTACACACCAATTTTTTGAGGTTATAGAATTTTGCAAATATAATTCTGTTTGAATTATCTACAATAATAGAATAAACAATTCTACAAAATTAAATATGTTTCAGGTATTAAGAAAATCACTTGATGAAGATAAATTAACCTTACAAAAGGACAAAAGCCATTTTTTTTCTTCTACTATTTTGTCTAGACAAGCCTATTCTTATGCCTTTTGAAAGGTTAATCTATCTTAATCAAAAATAAGAACACATCTTCGAGGGTTGTAAGATATTCCATTTTTTTAGATTTGTTTATTTTATCATTCTAACCGAACAGAATTATATTTGCAAATTCTAGGACCTGAAAACCTTGGTTTTTCAAAGACCCTATTCTCAGAAAATTAGTCATCAACTTTCATCGTCAAGAATTCTTGTTGGAAATAAAATTCTTTACATAAATCATTATTTGGATTTTTATTAGTGTTTACAGCAACGAAAACAAAAAACAATTGAAAATAAGCCTGGTTGAATAATTTTGGGAGCCATTGTGTATGTACATATACATATGTATATAAGTAACGTTTTTTTTTCTTCTTTTTTGTATATTGCAAAAGTAAAAATACGTTTATTCATTAAATGGTGATATGATATCGGAAAGATAAGGATTTTTTAAAACACCATCGATAAATTCATCTTTAGTTAATGAATGATCATTATTAACATCAATTAATGAAAAAACATCTTCAACACAACGTTCAGGTGGATAATCTTTTTTAGATTTTCCTAATAAATCATACATAGCCGATATAACTCTTATCATTTCTTTTCGATCAATTGAATTGTTTTTATCTTTATCATAAAGTGCAAATACATAATCAAGTTTTTGACGCATTGTACCTAATGAAGTTATAGCATAACCACCTAAAGAAATTTTTTTATAAAAATTCTTATTTAAGAAGAATAACAAAACTATAAACATACAAAGAAATTCATTAAAATCAATTTTTCCATTTGAATCTCGATCAAATGCTGTAAAAACAAAATTGGCTATTTCCTTAACTTTTTCATCTGATTCAACACGTAATGTACGATAGAATTTAAAAAATTTTTTTCGATTCATTTTGCCTGATGGGCAAGCCAGTAGAAATTGTTTTCTAATAAATAAACCAAAAAAGAAAAATTTATTGAATTTTCTTCATATATATATATATGTTTTTTTCATGTTTTACTAACCTCCATGCAATAATAACTTCACGTTCTAAGCCTGTGTCATCGATTAATTTGTCAATAACAGTTTGATCAAGACGATTTTTTTCAATTTTATTTCCCATTATTAATAATTGTCTGAATATGACAAAGCAGTTAGAAAAAAAATATAAGACCTATCTAATGAAAAACAAATAGAAAATTTAGTTTTAAATTTCTTTGAAAGAAAGAATGGAGAAGATATTATATTACGCTTTTTTACTAATTCAAGTAAAATGTGTCGGTATGCACATGATGCAAAAACAAAAAAAGAAAAGAAAAACGTAGGCAACAACAATTTCTCATTGCTATCGTCATTGAACAACAGACAGTAGCAAGTTTTTTTATTTGTTGTATATGAAAATGCATGCACTTGTCTAATCTCTGGAGAATCTAACATCGTATAATGTTGCCTTTTCTCATCATCTTACGATTGCTTTTAATCAAATATGACATCTGAGAAATGAAAGTATTGTAAAAAAACTTGTAAATAGCTTTTTATATGCATATATAAGAAAAAAAAAAAACTAAGAAAAAATGATTTATAATTGTTTCTGATTATTGTTATTTTTGTATTACAGAAAAAAAAAATACTTCAATTATATAAACGTATCCTATTTCCGAATGAACATTTACAAAAATAAAAAATAATATTTCTTCTCCTAAATTGCTCATTTGTGTATGAATCAACAAAGTGAACTAATTAAAAATAGTGTCGTTAGGAAATTTCTGTTAAAATAAAAATAAAACAAAGAAACAAAAGATGATGTAGTTAACAATCGAATATATCTAAAGAAAATCTAATATTTATGACTCTTAGATCTCAATAAGCTTAGGTATATATGTACGTTCATTTTGTAATGACAAAGTTCTAATGATTATGAGATCCTCTCATGTATCTTGTTACTGACATTACAATTGCCTGTCAACGGAACAAATCAGGTTGATAGACTAATATTACTTGCATTTCTGTTTGTCATTTGGATATGATAAAGTTTTGCTATACTTAGTTAACTATGATGGAAACTAATGCCATTTTGCACTTCTTCATATTACTTATACTTGTATTTAATGTGTATTTTTCTTTGATGTTTGAAAAAGCTGAGTTCTATTATTTGTTTTAGCTTTACCATTGATATATTTCTTCTCGAAATCCTTTGTTATCTCATGGGATCATTTTTCTCATCAGTAGTTTTAGTTTTTTTTTCTTTCTTTTCATTTAAGTATTCTACAAGTTTAAATAGTTTATGGTTGTCTTTCTCAAGAGATTTCCCTATTTTCTTTTCATTTTTATTATTTTTCTCGTCATAAATAACCCACAATTGCCAATATTATACTATCATAGATAAGTTAGAAAATAAAATCATTTGGGTCTTATTGCTAATATACTATCAGTATTGATGATCCTACCTGACTTTGTCGTATCGATAAGAAGAGAAACGAATGAGAACAAGAAAATCAACTATTGTTAGTTTGAATAGAGGAAAGAAAATAAGAAAACGAGAACAACATATTGACAAAAAAAAGGGACGATAAATACGTTATGGTCATCGAAGCAAACTTATTATTGTCAACAGCAACCATTAAGAATCATTGACAGATGGATAGACGCACAACAGCCAATCTTAATTTTCTTATACGACTTATTTTCTTTTCTCGGATGCGATCCAAGGACTAGTTAATAAATAGATAGATAGATAGATATTCTTTTTGCTATATTTGCGTTGTTCGTTCTATAAACATCATTTTCTTATTTAGGTCTCGGTTTTCTTTTCTTTTCTCTTGGTTAGTTTTTTTTTATGGACAGATTTTTGTTTTGTTAGTACTAAATCGTTGTCTTTCTCTCGTTTTTCGACCCTCTTGTCTTTTTTTTCTCTATAATGCATTAAGCGATCAAACGTCAAATATAAATGTTGATGATACTAAGGCTCTCTTTTGATTATTTGTTTGTTGCTTGTTATTGTTAACCGTTTGTATGACAGACTGTATACTTATAAATGACAATTACCATACAGATCTTATGTGGATATAAAGATTAAAAAATGAATAGATACTTTTTTGTCATCAAACGCGTCTTATTCAATAGGAGATAGTTAATATTAATGAGAAATATATTAGTTTGAATTGTCGAATGATCAAAATATGACTTCTAGTTATCTCAATTTCCTAATCAAAATATTCATGTCAAAAAAACTGATAGCATAATATCATATGAGATGATGAATGATATTAGTTAAGACTTGAAAAAGCAAACAAATTCAATCAAGCTTATTCTCTAGAGAAAAAAATGATATATGAAAAATAATTGGCTTGTTTTATTTTTAAACGGTTTCATTATTCGATTCGTTAATCTATATGGCATTCTTCTCAACTAACTATTTGAATACAAAAAAACTTGGTATTATATTCGTTTTTTAGCAGCGCTTTTAACTGCAATTTCAATATCTAATCAACGTAATATAATTCTCTTGGCATATTTATTTTTATATAAACTAATTCTAAAATAAAGAAATAAGAATTCAGTTTTTTTTTCTAAAAATAAGTGTTCAGATAGATTTCTTTTTACGAATGAAAACTGAATGAATGATAAGCTTACTCACGTCATGTCAACAAGATATGTATGTAGAAGAAAAACGATAACTGGCTTCAATGATGAAACAATGTTTGTTACCGGAAAGGACGGACATGTAAACATTGATACGACGGGTGTTTGTCCCCTGTCTAGGCAATGTTCATATGTGCAATTAGAGAACGAAAAGGATAGACAACAATAACTACAGTCATTGATTCGGGCTCTTTTGACTAGGAAAGCAACACTTCAATACAGCATGCTTCTAGTCCTAGTCTTCTACTTACCTTCTCTAGTTTTAGCTCGTATTGGTAAGTATAAAGATAATTTTTGGAATCTTGTTATTATTATTATTATTATTTGTTTTCGTGCTACCCTATGAACTCAATTAGGTCATTCAAAACAAAGTTATTGTTTGGATGAAATAAAAAGTGGTACACTTTCACTTGGATGTCCAAATAATCAATTGATAAAATTGGGACGTGTTATATATGGCTATTCATGGTCAAATGATTGTTCATATATTGATAAAGATTGTACAATGGACGTACCACATGAAGATATTATTTGTTTGACAACTACAAATTGTACAGTTCGTGTTGTTGAACATCCATTAATATTACAAGATTGTTGGAATTTAGCTGCATCATATGTTCAAGCTGAATTTGAATGTATTGCAGGTCTGTATTTCTCTTCGTCTATTTTTTAATACAAGAATGTCGTCGAAATGGCATATATTGACTAACTATATAACAAAAAAACACATAAAAGAAGATCACGAAATCTACCATGATAGAAAAAAAAACCATGCATGTTATTATAAAAAATTAGCTTTTCATATGAATATAAAATAAGAATTCTGATTATCATAATTATCATATTATAGAATATTCGCTTCAAAATGTCTGCCAACCTCAAGATACAACTTTAGCATATGGTTTTATCTCAACACCAAATTATCCACATGGTTTTTCAGCAAATCTTAATTGTCCATGTGCATTATTTGCATCACCAGGTCATGCTATTGTACTTGAAGTTATTGATTTTCGTTTACCAACATGTGCTGAAGCTGGCCTTATTCTATGGCTTGGACAAGATTTTCAAACGAAATGTCTTACACAAGATCCACTAACAGTTGTTAGTAACGTTAAACAGAACGTTACACTTCGTTTTTATACATTAGCTCATATTAAACATGGAGGATTTTTAATAAAATATTCTGTTTTACCTGTATCAAATAACGCAACTGTTCGCTTACAATGCTATGTTGCACCAGCTGTCAGTCGATCACCAACATCAACAAATTTTCCCGCACCAAATTTGTCACAACAGCCTTCTTTACACGTTCCTAATATGAACAACGAAATGAATGTTCCTATTGATCAAGAAAGACGAGAAGGCGGAGGCGGACGAGAAGAAATGCCATTGCCGTCATTAGTTGTTACTCATCCCAATGATTTAATAAAACGATTTCCGTCCGGGCATGATGTAGCTCCGCCTATTCTTGGTACACTTGAAGAACATAAAGTGTGTAAGCATATTTTAAGACATGAAATGTTCGGTCTTCTTTTTTCTTTAGGATATTATGTCGTTAGCTGGCGTTAATAAACAACAGCAACAATTGCAAGGTCTTAATCAATCAATTTATAAACGATGTAAAAGAAAAATAAATGTTTCTTTTATAAATTGAGTTTTTCCTCTTTAATTTAAAAATTTAGATTTATTTCCGAATTCGTCATCGTTTCGTCGTTCAAATATGACATTAATTGTCATTTGTGTTGTCGCTGCTGTCATCTTTCTTCTGATCATGATCAATGCTCTCATATGGTTCATTTTTTCGTTGCGGTAAGCACAAATCGGCTCGTTAATCCTTCTACACAGCACGCAACTGCATCTTCTATCGTCTTATATTATTATTATTATTATTATTGTTATATATCCTGTATATGTATATATTATGTATATAGACCAACCCGTTCCAAATCGACTACATCTTGCCAAAATTTATATCCTCATCCAGCGACATTGAGTAGTGAAACGAAAACAACAGCATCAAACTATCCAACACCAATACATCCTCGTCATCATCGTTCACAATCATCCTTACGTCTTGATGATTCATCAATAATGTCAAATCATTTAGTGCGTCGAGATCGAATATTACCTCAAGAAGCAGCATCAAATCGTTTAAAAACACTTCGTTCATTATTATTTCGTGGTCATAAAACTCTCGGAATCGATTCAATAACACCAAATAATCGATATCATCATAATCGTGATGTTGATTCAACTTTATCGGAATATCATGTACGTTCTTTATCACAATCATTAGTTGAATCACAATTACCAAAATCACGTTATGAAGAACAAGAAGATTGTGTTGAGCTTAAATCAGAATGTTCTTTTTTAACAAATCGTAATCATGGTTTATTGAATAAAACGAAGTCAAATCAAGAACCACGACAAATCAATTCTTGGGATGACATTTGACATGTTTCTTTTTCATTGTCTCTCTTACTTTGTATTCATAATGAACACCTAATGTAACGTCACTAGGGAAAAGTGAGTTCAAACGCCATTCAATTAATGCATGCTCGTTTATCACCGGTGTCGTCGTCATCGTTGTTTCTCTTCTTTTTCTTTACGTTCAAATACTTTTTTCTTTGACACACATACACATTTACGCATGCAATGATTAAGTTTTTCCGAGAGATGAAACATCAACATGTCTCTTTAGATAGATACACAAAGATGTGCGAGTCAAATTAATTTCAATCGAATGTTTTCTTTTTTGTTGTTTTTGTTCGATCTCGTATTCATGAGCAATAGAGTAGTATCGTCTTGTACGTGTATTTATTGTGATGATGTTTGAGATGAAAAGAAAAAGAAAAAAAAATCGAAGAAAAAAAAAACGACCACACGGCTCAATGACATTCACAGATTTCATGTCCATTTGTCATTTTTAATAGTGTGAACAATAATATTACGATGATGAGTTCTTACTATGAGTAAGTATAGCATTCAAGAATAAAGTACTAGGAAATGAAAAGTGAATGAACTAATAAAAAAAAATCGACAGGTTGCTGTTTGAAATTCTATTGGTACAAAGAAACTGTTGATATTTAAATTTTTGAATCAAAGATGATCAATCGAGTGTATTTATGAAGATGGAATGAAAAAAAAATAGATCAAACTTGTCATTTTCAATTATTTCTAGGTCTTTATTTAGTACAAATCAACAAACGAATTCCAATCCAGTTTTGTTGCCTTCTCTTTCTTATCCATTATCATCGTCACTCTTTCAATTGGATTCCTCATTTCATCTCTATCGTGAAGTATTTTTTCGAACTCTTTTCAGTCAATATTTTCAAGCAGCACCACAACCACCACCACTACCCCTATTATTAACATTTCCAACTATCATTCCTACTGTTTCAATTGAAAAAGAATCTCATGTACCATTAACAACAGAAAATTATTCTCAAAAAAATTCATCACCAATATCTTCATCAAATTCAAAAGTTCGTCGTCGTTTATCATGCCCACAATGTTCATATGCAACAAATCGATTAAATAATCTTAAACGGCATATACAAACAATGCATGAAATACTTTCAGAACCAATTGATTGTTGTGATCAATTATTTATAAGTAAAGCACATTTTCGTGCACATGTTAATACAGAACATCGTTGTGGTTATCATTGTGATACGTGTCGACGTACATTTTGTCGTAAAGCACTTTTAAGACGACATCAATCGATTCATTCAGGTCAAAAAGCATTCTTTTGTCCTACTTGTTCCTATTCAACAAGTCACAAAGGAAATCTTGATCGACATGCTCGAATTCATCGAACTCAAAATGAACATAAGAATTTATTAACTTAAAGATTGTTTTATTCATTGTATCATATACTAAAAAAAAACATGTATACAGCTCATTTATTAATTCAAAATAAATAAATACAGGATAAATTTTGTACATTTTACAAATTTGAATAAACTTCAAGATAGATAATTCTACTTCAGAAAGTAACAACATAAAATCTAATTATTTTGTTTTATTTGGAACAAGAAGTATCTTTGAGATTTCAGTTGAGAACAATAGAGATGATGATTAGAACTAAAATGCATTGTTACTCTCTGTAACTTCATTAGTATCTTTTGAAATCTTACTTTCTCTATCTAAACTTATCTTCTACGATGAAGATAAGCAATTTTATCGATACTCTTGATTATATAGTCAACGATCGGGTTAATTATCCTCGTTTTCTAAAAGATGTATTATGCGACTCTCATAGATCATAAAGTGCTCAACGATGAAACGACAATATCGTCCATTCTTCTGAATGAATTTATGTTAGATTTTAACTTTCTACTAACAACAAGACATTTACAAAACGTATTTCAGATGTATACTCTCATGGGTGGTCTACTATAAAAAAAGAACACAAGGCTCTTAGAAGATATTTTTGCCTGTAGAGTTCCTTGCGTTGATTATTATGGTGAAAAAACAATATTCAAATTTACTCAATAAATCATGATGATGAGGTCAAAATACTGAAAAATGTCAACTAGTGCTCAGCAGTAGTCAGGAATATTTTTGTTGTAACACTATGGTTTGATTAGTAATTTTTGAATATTTTTTTCCGTCGAAATGATTAGGCCAACGAACTGTACAAACGAAAAAACTTTCTGAGAACATTGTGTGTTTTGTAGGTGACTATTCATCAAAAACACGATTCATAAGCATTTTGTCGTTGGTAGTTCGATTTGATAACCAAAAAAGTATAAATTAGTCAATGAAACAATTTTTGTTTTCAACTTTGAAGAATAATGGAACAGCATTTTTTATCGAAACTTTACCATATTATCTTCTGTAGTCATACAATTAGAAATGAAAAAAAAATGAGAAAATAAACGATAAGTCATCTTAAGAATTCATTCAAAGTTGAAAAATAACAATTAGTGCAACAACAATGAAAACAGTGCAAGTACATGATTAAATTATACCGATTTGAAATAATAATTATTTCAACACAATTTTTCTATTTATAAATCGAATTGAGTAGACTAGTAATGGGAGTATTGACATTTTACGAATTCAAAATATCTCGTCTTAATGAAGAATTTTTTTCATATCTGATACAAATAAATTGTGGAATAATATTCTCTGGATTAGAACCAAAAATGACTTGATCTCGAATATCTCTAATCATAATATATTTAATCGGTATCTGACGAACGAATACATCATGAATATTCCAATACATACATTCATAACTTGTGAAACATTTGAGATTCATAGAAAATGAGAAAAATAGTAAAATACTGTATATTGCACTTTTAGCCTTTTATTAAAACTTGATCTTGTTATATTGACAGAAAATTCAATCAGAAATTGTTCGAAAATACAAAATAATATTGTTATCATCTTTTCGAAAAAGAAATTACATTGAAAAGAAAATCACTGTTTCAAGTTAGCTTTAAATCAACAATGAGAAGAAATAGTTCTAACTTCTGGACAATCATTGCACAGACGTTTCATATTAACTGAACCTAATACTTTCAAATTTGGCTTATGAACAGCAAACGGTCGAGAATGATAAATACTTTCTACTGAGAATTTCTTTGCAACATGAGTGGAAGGAATACGAGCATTAACATAAGGTAAATTACGTGTAAACCAAACATCTTCATTTGTTTCATGCAATCGATAACGAGCACGATCACTTTCTAACAATTGAAGCATTTTTTTTCGACTTCGTAATGAAAATCCACCATTACAACAACCACCACTATGCCATGGCGCACCAATGAAATCATACTGTAAGAAATCTGTTAAGTTATGTGATGAAGTCGAACAGATAGTTGAATCAGTTTGAAAATACAATATTTTTTCACCTTGTACTTGATGCCAAAATGATGCAGATGTTAGAAGTAAATTAATGTATTCGCTACCGGTAAAATCCACTCGTGGAAAGTCGAGCGGTGTCATGAAAACACGACCATTGATAATCGATGGTGACAGAGAAGATGTTTTATAGAACGACCAATGTTCAACTGGTATAATAATTTGAACTTTCCAATCAGTTGGAATATGCTGTAAAACATTGATAACAGCATTGATAAGTTCTTGACTAGCTCTGTCGTCAACAATTAAAGCTATATAAGGATATGTAGTTGTATAATTGCTTATTATATTTGAATCAAATACTGGAGCAAGCAATAAATTTCGATAAAATATAACAATTGTGATGTATAAGATAGCTAGTAAGAACCATAGAGAGTACTTCCTGGCAAATCTTAAACACCAGATAAGGATCATATAACTATAAAAAAAAAAGAAATTTAAAAAAAGTAAAATGATACAATAAAGATTATGGATTAGTGAAAAACACGCGTGTACATGGATGACAGCTTTGTTGAATCTTCATTTTTTCTTTGATACATCAAGCTGTGTGTACGAAAATAAGGAGGATATAATGAAGCTGAAAAAAAGTAGTTTAGTAGTATCAAGTTAGTAGAAGAGTGTCGAGTGAATAAAGAAGTGAGGATGCGTACAATTGAAAAAAAGAGAAAAAGAAAATAACCAAAGAGAACCAATATGTGTAAAGTCATACGTGAAATAGAAGACGAAAATGGGATACAAACGTGAAATAATAACAAATAGCTTACTAAGGTAAACATGATGGATAACATTTGATGCTTTAGTTATTCCCCTAATGATAGAGATAAACTACAGATGAGTATCAAAATAATATTTAGATTAAAAGCAATACACTAAACATGCTAGTGTTCTATTTGAAGATCAAACCCTTGTTCATCATATTTCGGTTCGTTTCTAGCATAACATAATTTCTTGTGCAAAGACTCAGATGTTTCAAATATTGCTATTATTGGATTCAAAATTTATTTTACGAGTTTAAATTACATAGAATGGAGTAGTACAGGCTATTTCTGAACGTTTCTTTTCAATCCAATTATGAACTAGTAAATTTTGGCATGTTTTCTCACTTTCATATATTTACTCAGTTTGGTATAATGTTTCGATTAAGTCTTTCTAATACATAAGCTACATCATAGTTGACTTTAAGTATTGTGATTTATCGACAACTATCGAACAGTAACTAAACGTCAAACTTATGTAAGGAAATAATGATCAAACTGTATGAGAGCTGGAATTCACTTTCTAAACTAAACGAGTGACCTAATACTAGTTGATGTGAATGATTCATCGAATGAGTTTCACAAGGAGCTCATTGGTGCACTTGTTCACGTCATCTCATAACTGGGTTAATTGATTGAAAAAATGTTTGCACTGAAAAATTAGACACAACTGAGAACGTTACTATACTATGTTCTCTTCTAGGCCCTTCTTTATTTTTTCTATTCTCATAGTGTTCTTCACTTATGTCATCTTTATAGTAGATAATTTAATTTTCTGTCCAAATGAATTAGCAAAGAGCGCCATCTATTATTTTTTTCAAAAATGACCAGCATAACATTTCGTACAAATACTAAGATCTCTCTGATTCTCAGTATATATGAATCTTGAATAAAGTTTCAAATAAAAGGAAAAACTTTCTCACAGTGCATTGAGAAATAGACCCTAAAAAACAAGTGCATTCGATGCATCAGTCAGTAGGATCCGAGACTATTTATTTTATTTATTATCTGATTTTTATCTAATTCGAGATAATTCCAGGTAATAGAACAACAAAATAGTACATGTCTGTTCATGTAAACACCATTCGTAAGATGGACATATTCAAGCATGGTTTTGTTAGAAGCCATGTCTGAATACAGTTAGAAGAAATATTCAAACACTTCCAAGCGTTCTTCAGAATATTATAACTTTAATCGCAGTATCATCATCCTCACACATTGGTACGTGAATATGAATGGCAGCAGTGAGTGTGATGATGCGATTAAAGTAAAAATATGTCCGCTTTTTCATTTCAAAAGGCGTACGGGTACAAAAAAAAAATGTTGTTGCACTGGAGACACAATTAGAATAAAAACTCTTTCAAACGCATTCGAAAATTAGTTCAATAAACAAGTAGTCATGTATTTATAACATGTAACACCCCTAGCACGGTTTAAACTAACAGATGATATATGCCAAATGCATTGAAACTTCAATAAACATTTTCTAGACAGAAACTTTAGTATAACATGCTAAAAAACGATGAGAACTTGACGATGCGTAGAAGAGAAAAAAGACAAACTGTGGATCCCCTTCAAACGAAAAAGACACATACGAACTTGATTTAGTCCATAGGACTTTTTCGTACTTTATATCCAGTACAGTCACGTATAGGATGAGAGAAACCTCATAACTGAGTATGGTCATACCAGATTTAAGGCACATCTAAAAAATATTCAAGGTTTTTCTACCCTAGCATTTGGAATCGTGCTATAAAGGATGCATACTGATAACATCATAGTCTTTCAGGTTTATAATTGCGAATATAAGTTCAAGAAAGTCAGCTTATACTACAGTTTGCTGAAAAGCTTGTTTTTATGGGCTACAAAATCCTATTATTGAGAGAATTAGAAAAGTGGAATCTTAATAACAAAATAGGTACATATTGCTTTTGTAAATCTTGAAAAAGGTTAATATCATTTTTTTATTTTTTATTATTTTTTTTAAAAGTCTGCTAGAACATGTTGTTGCATATCGCTACGACGGCCCTTGACGTTCCTGTCTCAGAGATATTGTTCTAGATCTGTTCATGACAACTCTAATGAGTTGAGCAAACAATAAATAGACTTTGCAATATAAGAAGTAAACGGAGAGGTTAACAATTTACCACAAAATATCTATATTGCGTGACTTTGTTGTTTCACCAATTAGATATCATTTATCAGACAAGTTTTTTATACGATTCTCAAGTAATTGAGCTTGTACAACTTTCTCGAAGCCAGTACTATAGTGACTACTCAACCGGTTCACAATACATTCCCTATGCTATGATTTTTTTTCAGTAGCAATATGACATTATCAGTCATTAAAACAACTTTTACATATTTTCTGAATTGAAACATTACGCTAGAAATAAAAAAAAATAAATCTTACCGCGTCCTTTTCGAAAAAGAGCAGCAGTACAATCAATTTATGTCAAAAAGTTTGATGAATTTATATAGTGGTTTTCGTTACATTCAAATATGTTAATTGGTGAAACTTAAAAGATCTGATTTACTCATCAAAATAGAAATATTGAGCAGTTTACCTATAGGGAAAAGATTGGAAATTATTTAAAAGAAAGGAGAAATCATGCCTTTATTACGATTTTATAGTCGGTGATCAATATTTGTGTCTCTATCAGTCGACATTGAGTTTTTGCTTTGTTCTGATTACATCAAATCTCATCTCTTTATAAGACAACCGTCCTTTCTTGCTTAGTTTACCAATTGTGGTAAAATAACGCGTACAAATTGTCATGTGGAAAGAATAATTGAGACAAACAACAACTTCCGACGTTTTTATGCATGCAAAACTTAACTTTTTCATTTGAACGCCATAATGCTGATGTCAAACGAATTGGAAAACCAGGATTTCAGCTTCAATTTTTAGTGAAAACTTTCTCTGCAATATAGCAGGCCTGTTCAGCTAACATCAGTTGAGCTTGATAACTATAAACACTGCAAATGTATTCATATGTCGAGTGATGCATATGTATTTACGGAGCATTTTTCTTTTTGATCTTCTGTCAAAATGAGAGGTGAATGATCAACATGAATATGTTTTCGTGATTGTTTAGCAACATGTACAAATATTGTTGTAGTAGTGTTTGGTGTAGCAGAAACCGATAATGACGCTGACCTGATATGTGAACTTGATAGCCAAACAATAGTCTGAATCGTTGCATCTTTTTTTTCTTATTTCATTTGATCCTACGTCTTCTGCAGTCCAATAGACTCGTTTTTTCCAACGTTTTCCATTCGTAGTCTCTTATTTCTCTCATAGTTTTTGGAACTGATGTCATGGAAACATCGAGTATAGATTTGATACGATTATTTCTATTGTTCAAAATGAAAAAACAAATATTCTTTGCAAGTTCCACAAACTTGATCACATTGAACATTATTTACTTCGTGTTTTTTGAGAAATCATGTTTTGCAGGAATCTTATTAATAAATGAACTTCATCGGAATTAATCAATATATTGCTTCTCTTTCATTTTCGTTAAATGACGCAGAAGAACTAGATATATCTGATTGTATAATTTAGAGAATACAACAAAATTGATCTCCTTTTCCCAATGAATCCGTTCTTTTATCTGCTATATTGAACACCATTTCTTTTGGTTGACCCCGATGATCTGCGAAGACTAGACAGAGGAGAAAAATTTTAGTTGACTTCCATGTTAAAACAGATACGTTTCTCATTTAATTAAGCACAATGAAGAAGATATTCAATTGGAAGAGTGTGTTGTGTTGTCATGACTTATAAGTAGAGTAGCCGAATTATGATGTAAGTTAATTAGCAATGGTTTTACATGACAAAGAAAGATTTCGTCACAAAAGTGAACAATTTATTTCTATTAAAAATGAACAAAAACCTAATTATTTATTAAAAAACCTACAATCATTGAAAGTTGAAAACGTAACTATTAACGAGGAATAGTTATTGAAGCATTTTGTTGCGATTATTGTTGGAAATATAAATTCTGAATGAAATGAAACACAAATTTCATGTTTGTGTAGAATTATAGATCTTGACATTGAGAAGCCAGTGCACTCCTGATAATTGAAATTCTATATATTTTTCATGCAAATTGAGATCTGTTAATGAATTTCATTAACTACTTATTCGATTTGTGAGATGACACTATTAATCATTATATAGAACGATGAAGTCTATCGTATTTTTCTAATGATGCAAGGCGCAGATCAGTAGCTGCTTCCTCTGGTGAGTTATTCAGCAAATAATTGCTCTTCTTTTATTTTGACATGAACATTCGTTTAATTAGATTTTTCTATACCAGACCAGGCGTCAAATTGGACCGACCAGCTAGCCGGTTATCGATCTGATTCGACTGAACTTTGAAAGCTGATCAATTTTCACCGGTTGTTTGCTAGATTTTTTTTGTCGATTTTTATGGCACTGAAGACCGTCTATTTTGCTCGTTTTTATTGACTTTTATGCTTTTAACGATTCAGAAATATGAACATGAAAGTTTCCAATTGACAAATTTCTAGTCTTCATCAAAAATCCAACTCCATATTTTGAACTCATACTTTCTCATAGCACAATATGGACCTTGAACCATGCTGAACGTATTGATTATGGTCACAAAAACTTCGTCAGTCATTAGAAGCTCGATTTGATATAAACTAAAGATTTTCTATCTTGAAGTGCCGAATTCACTTTACTGAGCTATTTTTTATCGACTGTCAGAAACTTTCAATGACTCATAGTTTCAATTAGCGTTTTCGTTAAATAAATATCAGAAAAGAATCTGTTTTCTTTGTGGAAGTTTTACCAACTGCTACCTAATGTAATTTGTGACAATATCTAGATATTAAGAAACCTAAAAACGTGAAGTCTAATATAAAAATTGAACGTTGTAGCTCAGTTTATCTTTCTATCGACAGTAGAAGCCTTATATAAATTGGAAAGCTTTTTAATTATATTAAATCAATAATTTCAAATAAAAAAACATCAAACTTACGAATTATTGCAAAGAAATTATATCGTTATTGTAAAAAGCTAGGCAAAACAAAGAATAGATGTTGTTCAATATCAATTATTATGATTTAGTAGATGAAAAGTTTTGAAACAGTTCTTCTTTCGTTCATAGTATTAGCATATATATATAGAATGCGATTCATTAAAATAGAAGCTGTTACTATTAGAAACTTCAATAGTTATAGGAGCTTCACATTGAGTGTTTTCGTGAAGTTATACTAATTACCTTTTCTTAATAGAACTAGTAGATTAATTAATGCATTCAAATGTACCAGTTTCTGACTGATGAATTTTATATTTGAATCAGTCGATTGGATTCACGTGAAAAACATTTGATTTTTCCCAACCCTTCACCGCCTGGAGATAGTTTCTGTCATACGAACTCAAATCATAGGGAATATTTAATGGCTACGAATCAGAATAACATAAAGTACGATTTTCTTGGTGCACATATAAAAATTGAATGAAAATGAATCGAAATTATATAGAATTCGATAACTATCAATCGAATAATCTAGTTATTTTGAGACGAATTCGGTCCAAGAAAATATAGTCATATTAAAAAAGTGATACGGTCGGTATGTGTGGTAATTTATTTTTCAGATGCCTTCGTTTCGTATTGATTAACATCAGTATTTCGGTGAGCCTGACTTTCTATCTTGTTTGTTCATGTTAATGAACGATGATGAAATCAATAATATTATTGAATACGTGTGACGATCTTCCCCTTTGTAACATATTATGTTAAATATGGCTTCTCTTTCTCGCTAACTTAACAATAGAAAGTGAAGAGCACTGATGCTAATGAAAATTTCATTTTCCTTCAAGAAAAGATCACAAAAGATCTTTCTGATTTCGATAAAAATCTCCTTGCTTTTTTTTATATTTAGACTTGACAACTCTGAATATCAAAATATTGAACCGTGATAACTAGTGTATATAGATTGACTATGGAAGACTCCTAATGAAAGAGGCTCATCTAAAACTATACGAGTTCGAGACTATTTTCATCATATTTATACCAATGTACATCATTTTTTTATTTACATTGCATCAATGTTATTTTCGTTAAAGTATTCATTCTTTCTAGTTGTCAAAACGAATATTTATTGCTGTTACGAGGGTAGTAAATATTCAATGTCATTATTATTACAATTCTATTTATTATATTCTATACATTCTTAATCTTTTCGGAATATGAGCTGTATATATGCATATTTCGTCCTGAAACCGTTCAAATCTATGGATGCATATTAATTGTCATTTATGTGTTTGGTATTGCTCTATAATTTCGTACGGGCGCCATTTATATGAGCTGTACCACTCTTTGAAAGATCAATAAAGCTGATTAGAAAGAAAAATTAATTCACATTAATTAATTATATGTTTCATTATGTTGCTGGACAAAAAGAATCCTTTTCTGAAAATGTTAATGATTGACCTTATAAAATAAATGAACTACAAGCAGTGATGTTTATGGACAATGAGAAGAAATAGTTCTCGTTTCAGGACATTCATTACATAAACGACTCATGTTGTCTTTACCAATAAGGTTGATATAAGGATTATGAACAGCAAATGGGCGAGGATGATAAATAGTTTCCACTGAAAACGTTCTTGCAATGGAGATAGGAGCAACGATGGCATTGAATCGGGGTAAATTCGTTGTATACCATCCATCTTCATTTATTTGATGTAATGGAAATTTAACTCCATCATGCTCGAGCATTTGAAGTGTTTTCGTTCGACTTCGTATAGAAAATCCACCATTGCAGCAACCACCGACGTACCATGGTGCACCGATAAAGTCATACTGTAGGAAATCTGTTAATTTATATGATGAATTCGAACATATAGCTGAATCGATTTGAAAATACAATACTTTGTCACCTTGTACTCGACGCCACAACGATGGCGATGTCAGCAATAAATTAATAAAATCGGCACCAGATAGACTGTTTCGTGGAAAATCTAGTGGTGTCATAAACACACGATTGTTAATGATGAATGGGAAGAGAGAAGAGTTTTTGTAGAAAGACCAATGTTGAATATATGTAAAAATTTGTACTTTCCAATCGATTGGAATATGTTGTAAAACATTGATAACAGCATGAACAACTTTTTCTGTTGCTCGATCATCAACTATTAATGCTATGTACGGATAAATCATTGAAGAATTTTGAGACATATTGATATCAGATCGAGTAGTATTCAATGAATAGTAATAATAATAGACAATAATGAAAAGACACATGAAAGATAATAATAGCTGTAAACGAGGTTTAAAACTAATCATCTTGTGTAACACTCAGATCTGAATATCTAAAAGAAAGTAAAATAATACTAAGTGAAATGTTATTAGAATTAAGAACAATAATGGCCGATATAGCGGATGTATAAATAGTTTAGCATGAAATCAAATCTATAGATTTGTTTTATCGGTCGTGATATGAGTGCAAAAGAGAAAAGTGGGAGGGGCGGGGGCCCTCGTTAAGTGATGAAATCGGCTCCCTCATAAAGTTGAATTGACTGTTTTCCTAATAGCCAATTCAAATGTCAGGAATTGATTGCCGTTCAATTTAAATAGTTAGATATCATTCTGACTGCGTGTGGCTGACTCAAAACTCGATATTATCTATCCTTTATAGGTTCATGCTATGTAATATTTCTATGAAAAGCTTTTCTCTTGTCTTCAAGCCTTTTAATATTAGTTAAATCCTTCTGGCAAAAAATAGTTAGACTTGGTATTTTTAACATATCATTACTATAAATTAATATGCTTACAAAAGTAATTATATATTATGGTGGCGCATGGAATTCTTTACAAGCCTATATATGTAAGTTTTGAACTCTACTTGCTCGCTAAAATAGAAATTTTAGCAAAGGAAAGGCATTCTAGTTGTCAGATTCTTCAAAAATGTTCTTTTCTGTTTCTATTTCATTCATTTTTTCGAACTTATTTAAATATAGGAATAAACTATTACAAAAGTAAGCATATATCCTAAAGGGACGTGAAATTCTCTATTATCGTGTACTCTTGTCCGTCTTGACTTTCAATTATTTGATGAAAAATATTTTTATTATTGTTAAGATATCAATGTATTGCATTCCTAGATCAAGTTTTGTTGAGAATTTGGGCTATATCTCTGTGCAAAGTGGTTCATGTAAGATAAAGAACTCTGAATAGCATTAAAATCAGGGCAAATAGATGAATATTTATCCATACACTTTATTTTATTACTAGATAACCATTCACGGGCTATTGCATGAATTAGATTAAGAAGTCCAGAGGTAAAGATGTCAAATTGAAGTTACATTAACACTATTGAAAATATTTTTCATCAAATAATTAAAAATTAAGACAGATCAAAGTACAGACTTAGAAAGAATTAGTGAGGTTAACATAATGCTACATTTATTTCTCCTTCCATTTTCTTGTAATTTCACTTTTTAATATTGTTTCTTTCTCTGTTTTCCCTCCTTTTTGATGTTTTGCTTTCTTTGGTCATTTTGCTCTTCACTATTATGCACTTTCGGTTTTTTTTGTTATTTTTACTTCGCAGTTTACACCTTTGCAGTTTTACTTTTATCTATTTGGATATGTATTCCATTTTTATCTGCAGTTTTTGTACTGCCACCGTTTTGCGTTTTTCTCTGTGAATTTGCTTATTGATTCTTAAGAAAGGGCACGCCAGAAGAGTAAGAAAACTTACATAGGCCTGTACGAGACTAAATATTTTAAAAGCTTTTTTAAGTTCAAATGAGAGATCATATTGTGAAATTTATATATAAAAAATATTAGATTTTTCTGACGTGCTTGTAGAAAATGCTGAAGACTACAATCCTCCAATTTTTGTAGCTAGACCATAAAACTTTAAAAAATGGCTTTTTTCCACGTATTGATGGTTTGTTTTAGATTTTTTTCTACTTCTGATTGTGTTTTTGAGTCAAGAAAGGCTTCAAAAGACTGAGAAAAAAACTTCTCTACGAAATGAGCTACACGAATAATCCTTACAATAAGTTCTTGTCATTGATCGTGCCTCCACAAAGGAACGAGAGTCTAATGCTTGATGGCTGCCCTTTTACTGGCAATTTAACAATAACTTCGTCAAATCATGTTATCCCAAAAAAATAAATAAATCTAGTTTCTGAAAGCTCTTGAAACCTAATATTGTAGATACATAAGTTTCACGGTATGATCTCTGATTTGAGCTAAAACAAATTCAAGGAACAGAATTTTGATCAGGTGGTTTGGGTAGTAGTCTAGAAGAGCCATTCTTAGACATCTAACTATTTCGCTACTACACTCACTTTGAATGCTAACAGATTAACTTCTGTTCTTCTCTTTTCATTACTCAGCAACATTATTACCAATCAAAATTTTATATGTAACTTTATATTTTTTCTCATACGTGTTTAGAATAATTTGATCTTAGAGTTATGTAGTAACAAACTTTAGGAAGATTCTGATAGAATAATTGTCAGATACACGACAAACTCATTATCCTGAAACAATCGATAAGATTTGAACTATCTATGAGTAGTATAGAAAAAATGTTGAAAAAACAGTAAATAAATCAGAAGAGGTGCATTGCCATTTTTTATGAATATCTCATCGAATATCAACGATTAGTTCTCATTTATTTTTCAAAAAACAGAACACTTTAGTTCCTAGCAAGTGGAAATATTTATCTAAATAAATGAAACTGTCATCATTTTTAGAGCATTATATGAATAGAAGTATTTTGTAGAGTTTTCAAACTTTTCATGCTTCTAAACTTTTGATACACATAAGTGTTCATTTGCTAGTAATTCAGAATAGAAATATAGGGTTAAAGATTTGGGTGCCATTCTCTGATCCTTTTAAGGTTCTAGCATAATCTAGTTTTGTCTCGAACATCGTTTTTACTTGAAGAAATGATTTCATCCCGAAAAAAACCAGCAAAAATACTTATTATTACTTACGCTGTCAAATGATTTTAGGTACCTACAGTGTCATATTCTTTTTATTATTTACACTATTATATTTTTTTTTATTACTTACACTACTATATATATTTTATTACTTTCACTGTCATACACTCTTTATTACTTACATAGTCAGCGCAATTCTTATCACCTGCTTTACTTTCACACAGTAAGTTTTTTTTTTACTTATAGTTTCATAATACTTTTCAGTTTGAGACTTCACTTATTTTGTTGTTCGAGGTTATATTCAAACTTTTTAAGTTAAATTTCTCATTTTCTCCCGTTCTCGAAACTTGAAAATACAGGGTTGTGCATAACCTTTTGCTAGGGGGGTAGCGTCATTATTTCAAGTTGAATACCTAATGAATTTTATACCAAATTAAAGAGCGTCGAAAACTGGATTTATTAGTAGTAAATAGTAAGAGTTATCAAAATATGTTAATGTGGAACTTGCGAAATTTTCGGAAATTTTATGCTTTTTTTACCAGAGAAAATTAAGGAACCAGCAAANAACAGCTAAATATCGAATATACTATAATCTTCTACGAATATATTACATTCTCTAAGAAAAGGAACAATTTTCTTTTCACTTTTGTTATTAATCAAGAAAAAAACAACATAGATAGCATACTAACGCATATGTATAAGTAATATTACGACAAAAATTAAATTTGTATAAAATATTACGGAAAGGTAAATTTACATGACTGTATAAAAACATTGGTATGATAACTAGATGTCATCTTAGTTCAACACACGACTCGAGGCATTTCGAATTTCGGTTTTGATTTTTCGACATTGCACAGATAACATAAACTCTTAGTATCTGCCGAATTGAGGATTATTTACTATTATCATTGAAATTTGTTGAATTTAATCAATACCCAATATATCGATGCCCCATTTTTACGCTTGATATTTATATTTATCTTATATGTTTTATTTAAAACTGAAATATATCAGCAAATGCAACATTATATACTCTACAATTTGTACTAAAATGTTGTTTCATACATTTTACCTACGATGATCTAACATATTGAGATCTGGACTATTAGGCGGTAATTTGTTTTCATCAATGTATCGAATGAAGTTCTTCTTAATCTATGTTAGTGCCTCTCAAGCATCTCATGTCGAGGAATACCGAATTCCGTATACGACTATATGTCATCGTATTGAACGATCCAGTATTATGATCGTATATTTCCACAGTCAAATACGATGAAATATGGAGAAAAATGGAGGTCATTAAAAATCGTATTCTTAATCGTACACAGTCATAAATGATTCTTTTTTATTCCAATACGATTAATATACAATGCTTTATTTCGTATATTACACTCATTGCAACCATTAGACACGAAATCGATCTAAAAAATGAAATAAAGTAAATAATTTATACTTACTAGCGATTGACTTGATGTCATCATATACTTTAAAGTAAAAGAAAAAGAAATTAAAATAAGTACTTTGTACTTAGTGTTCATTAAACCATTGCCATAATATAGTCTAAAATAAAGAAAAAAAAATAGTTTATACTTATTGTGCATTGCATTAATGTGATAAAATGGTCTAAAACGAAGATGCACTCTCTAAAAAGTTCTGTACTTGGGTACGAAACTCCATATGGTTTGGTAGGATTAGGATAGGTTCTGCATGAGTTATAAAGAACCTTCAACAGTTCCGTTCGAAACAGAAGAGTTTCATATTTATTCTATGGATCCTAGTGTATTCGTTTGATACAATGAAAGATTTCATACTGGTTTCATGAAACCTTTGACAGTTTAGCATAATGCAAGAGAGTATCATATTTTTCTTACTAAACTATTTCTGTACTTGGAGAAAAGAAAAAGGTTCCGTATATTTTCTATAAAACTATCTGTGCAAACAATTGGCATCAAAGGCTTTTCTCCGAACCTTTTTGGTGTGGGTGAGAAACGAAAGGCTTTTTACAAATCCATTTGTGTGAGGAACATGTTAAGAATGTTTCATGGGAATCAACTTCTGTAGACGATAGATCAAAACAGTTTTTACTCGCTAAAATTACTCGATACTCCGTGATTAAGTAATGCTTTCGGTTATCCGTCATTATTATTAACCATTCTGATGGCGAAGAGTCAATGGGATTAAAAGTCATTACACAAATCTGATGATTTAGAAGTATTTGGCATAGACAGTTGTTGCTATTACTTCTATTTTTCA